TATAGAGTACGTGTTGATCACAAGATGAATTCCTTTGAAATAAATCTAAATTCAAACACTTTTTCACAATAATTACTCAAAAAGTAAATGACACAGTCCTGTCTAGGAACCCTCTTCTTTTGACTACAGTAACATATCACTTCCTTTCTTGGAAATGATTAGTAAAAAATGGTGGATTCAAAATAAAATGATACCATGACATCTTATTTAGTCTAACAAGTGGTAAGTTGTGCAGTGTTTGTTCTCTAAATCTGATAGCAGATCACAAAGGGAGTCACATCTTGTAAGTCAGAGTTTCTTAATGATAATATACTCTAACTTGTACCCTACTGTAGGTATGGTAAAGCAGCAGTTACAGGAATAGTGTCGGTTACATTTGTTTTGCCATTTGGTAATTAATCAATAATACAGTCACACTGTGCCCAACCTCCTTATTGTAGCCAACCAGTAAGCACAGCATTTGTGGTTCGATCCGTGACACTAATAGCAAATGAAAGTGCCTCTGCATGTATCTGTGCCAAGTGCCATTGATTGCTTCTATGTTATTTATGTGCTGGACACACACTGCTCTTTAAAAATAACATTACAAAATAAGCACTGAGGACAAATTGAAGCACTCTGTAGTAGGGCTGCACGATATTGAAAAAAACGGACATCGCGATTTCCCCCCCCCCCCCCTGCGGTATATATTGCGTTTTTTTTGTAACCTGTTAAGCCCTAAAGTCCCGGCGGGTACTTTACTTGTTTTTTTAAGACACTGTGTCTCAGGGGATCTTAATATTTAAGAACCTATTAATGTGTTATACCAGATTAACGGAAGTAATCTCAGCTAATTGACAATACAAACCATTTTTACCAAAACAAAACACAAGTCTCATAAGAAGCATCTAAATGACCCCTGAGCGAAAAATGCTAACGCACTTTGGCACAGAACTCAAGATAAAAGTACCATTATTACTTATCGTAGCTGCACATACAAGATATCCGATTAAAGCTGAGGTTCCACAGATTATTTAGGTATATAGTATCATCACTGAGTGATCCGAACTCGGACAGGGGAAGCAAACACAGACATCACAACACGGACCTTTACGTAGCTTCTAGGGGAGATGTCTCACCGTAGCTGTCAACCTGATCAAAAGACGTGTTCAATGGCATTAAAACGAGAAAAAACGCGGCTGAATCGGTTGATCCATAGGTTGATAATGTATCTGTGGCTTTCAAGCAATTGTTTATAATCCATAATTCCTTTTTTATTTAAAAATCGGAGCACAAAAGTTAGCTGCTAATGGTAGCTACCAGAGTGGCTGCTGCTTCAGGGCTTGGCTAAGCGGCAGTCCAGCGCATTCTAACCATGGATGTATAATAAGAACCTATAATAAGAGTCTAACACACACACATTACCAAATAAGGAGTGAGAGTGACGCGTAGCCAAAACTGGAAGCTGCATACACTCTGGTGGCTACCATTAGTAGCTAACTTTTGTGCTCCATTTTTTACATAAAAATGAAATTATGGATTATAAACAATTGCTTCAAAGCCACAGATACATTATCAACCTATGGATCAACCGATTCAGCCGCGTTTTTTCTCGTTGTAATGCCATTGAACACGTCTTTTGATCAGATTGACAGCTACGGTGAGACGATCTCCCGTAAAAGCTCCGTAAAAGGTACGTGTTGTGATGTCTGTGTTTGCTTCCCCTGTTGCGAGATCGGATCGCTTAGATACTATACTTAAATCATCTGTGGAGTCTCAGCTTTAATCGGATATATTGTATGTGCAGTTTCGATAAGTAATAAGGGTATCTTTATTTAGAATTATGTGCTAAAGTGCGTTAGCATTTTAAAAACAAATTAATAAAACCGCACGTCCCTGCGGTGTGAATATCGCGCATGGGCATATCGCGGTTATCGCCATGACACGGTATACCGTTCAGCCCTACTCTGTAGTCTAAACCTCGCCAAAAATGTAAGATCTAGAGTGACCTCCGTCTGTAGTCACACTCACTGCTGAATCTCCTTTAACGTTTAGGTTGTAAATACAGCAGCAATCTTCCGGTTGTCTAGACTCTAGTGAATGAGCGTCTAGGTATTTGTACAAATATTGTAAATATACAACACTGTACAATCACACGTCTACCGTTTTCTAGACTAGACACGGCTATATAGGATCATAAGTAAACTATTAATAATACAATATTAATCTTTAATTTCTTAACATCTGTAAGACAGTTTAACTTATTCTTAGTTTGCACAGCTTAGTAATAAATGGTGCTAAGGAACTATTTGTATACACAGCTTGTTTCATGACGTATGCAGCATGACACGTTGTCAGACACTGCAGCAGGCTGAGATGGGACCGATGCTGACTCTCTGTTGGAAGGTTTTATAACCCACTTCCACTCCCAGATAATTGATTTGGAACAGTGCTCAATGTTGAGGACCCTCCGTGCGAAATTTGCAAACGGAGTAGAAGTGGGTAAGAAAAGGGTGAAGAGGCCGGATTGGAATTGGGTTTATGTGTAGGTCGGGGAGAGCTATGCTAAAAAGGCACCTACTTTTAAAGCATGTAAACGGCACTTCCCTTGTGGGCCATGCCATAATGGCTCCAATACTGTATACAATGAGAGATATTACAACTCCCTCTCATATTAAGTATCAGCAGCAAGTTGAAGCTATGCACACTCCAACACTGTGGAAATGCAGGCTGATTTTTAAATGATGAGAGGCAATCTATGGATAATTGCAAGTGGTTCCCATACGAAGAACCTCCTTCCCATGACAACCAAAATGATAACGGTCTAATACATTGTTTAAGGGTGTTATCCCCGAATCCCTAATTGTCATTCACAGTAGGTCCTTGGCTTTCAGCTGACCGCAAGCAGTGCAGGTAGAAAAGGCAAATACTAGGGAATGAAGGATTACCTCTAATTACATACCCAGACAACCATTTGTTTAAAAAAAACTAAAAACATTCTCTTGGTATGTCACACATTCTGACCAAGTCCACATTCTGAGCTACGGTATATGAACAAGGCATTGCAACATAGCAGAGTAGATTATTTGGTCCTTTACATTACCCTAATGGCCCTTCTTTAACTTTAAGCTAATTTATCCAAGGATTTTACGTTTGCCTTTGGATGTTTTCTCATACAGATGTTAATACACAATTTGGTCTGCTACTATGTTTATAAGTGTTATTAGAAGTGCTAGTCAAAGTTTATCTGTTATCTTTGTGTGTCTCTCCGAGATAATTCTTGCACACATTCATACACTATTATTGACCTCATCTTTGTGGTGCCATGTAATGGCAGGATGTTGTGATATTGCTTAATGCTGTTGGAGAGAATTTATTTGAGGTCGCTTTTTAATGTGCATTTGTAATAATTTCTTGAAATTAAAGACGCCATGCTCCTGTATAACAGATTCAGAAACCGAATGATTTGACAATAATTTATAGAATTTAATCTAGGAAACTAGGTGATGCTATTTGTGCCAACCTTTCCCTTAATTACCGTTCAGCTGAGCATTTTGAGCCTAAGGTTTTTTTTTAGGGCTGTCAGTCGATTAAAATATTTAATTGGGATTAATCGCATGATGTCCATAGTTAATCGCGATCAATCGCAAATTAATCGCACATTTTTTTATCTGTTCTAAATGTACCTTAGAGGAATATTTTTCAAGTTTTTAATACTCTTATCAACATATGAGTGGACAAATATGCTTTATGCAAATGTTTGTTTATTATCATTTGAACAATGACAAATATTATCCTGAATATTCTCAACACAACAACCTGGAACCTCTCTCTCTCTCTCTCTCTCTCTCTCTCTTACACTCTCTCCCAACCCTGTCTACTTCTTTGCACTGAGCCAGTTGCTCAAACAGACAAGCCTGTTTACAGTTGTCAGCAAAATGCCGCTCCTCTGTCTTCATCTTCAGTCAAAGCATGAGACGGAACGTCTCATGCAACGTGTCGACTGCACATTACAGCGCATTATTTTGACCCACAGTGGGAACCACTGTGGGTCAAAATAATGCGCTGTGATGTGCAGTCGACACGTTGGATACGATCCGAATGATCTAACGCAGCCCCTCGTCCTCCACAATGTTAAGCTGTAGCCAACCATTTAGCTATCGCTGTTAAAAGCTTGCTGCTCGTAGAAGTGTCCAGGCATCTCCCCGACAAACTTTCAAGCGTGGTCTGCCACAAGCGAGCGGCAGGAGCGGGGCTGTCAGCATCAGCTGTGGGCTTGGCTTGCTGTTTAAAACACCTTTTTTTGTATCCATATCTCTCGCTAGAATCTCCCACCATTCAACTAACAACAACAACAGCAACAACAACAACAACAACAACAACAACAACAACAACAACAACAACAACAACAACAACAACAACGTCAAGCCTTTGGGCTCTGAAACTACGGGGCGGGCCGAGGACAAATACACATGCGTTAATCACACGTTAAAAAAATTAGTGGCGTTAAAAAAAAATAACTCGACAGCCTTAGTTTTTTTGTTTATACATTGACGAGGTTTCCTTCGTCTGATCGAATCTTGTGATTCCCTGACATTCATGTTCCCCACAGGATAAATTCTTATTACGTTGATGATCCCTTCAAAGAAATCTTCATTGTACATGTGCATTGTACTTATATAACAGATGTAAGAGGGAGATTTTATTTTGTATTACATGCATTTTTCTTCCTCATAAAAACTTGCACCTACAATACCCAAAATGCAACTAGTCTGCCAACAGTTCAGTCAGAGGTTTGGATGGCCAATGTTGCCTTAAATTGCTGGCCTTTAGCAGAAATTAGAAGCATGCTAAGTAGGTGATCATGAATATTATACCATCCAAAAATCTAACAGAAAACATCCAAATGCTATCAATTTGAGCATGTTAGCATGCTGTTATCCGCATATAGCTCAAAGGAATACTGTGCCAAGTAAATCTGTCTCATTCTGTCTCTCCTTGTGTCTCCTCCAACCCCCAAGCCTTTTTTTCTCATAGGAGAATGAGGAAGAGGAGGAACTGGAAACCATTGGAGCGCCTTGGAAAGTTTCTGTGAAGTCTCAATGAAAGCTTTAGAAGAGCCCCTCTAGTATTTGACTCAATGGCCAAGAAAGGGCGTACGAAGAGCGAGAAGCCTGAAGCGCTCATCTCTGCCCTACAGGCAGCCAATGAAGACCTCAGGTCCAAGCTGACTGACATTCAGATAGAACTACACCAAGAAAAATGCAAGGTACTGTTAATCATCTAAATACATACATTTCCTCTGAATGTTTCAACGATTGTAGATTTGAAACCTTAATTCTTTTTTTTGAAAGCAAGACTATAACTTCAGGTCCAAAAAAAGTTAAGATTTAGGTTTAAGGTTCGAGTAAATGTTGTGACTGGCATGCCTATGTCTCGACATCCTACATGTATGGTACAGCATGCATGTTATGTTGAGTTAATGCACAGCCTCTCTATATAACATGCTTGAAATGTAGTGTCCCTCTTTAGTCCTTTACAGTAGGCAGATCAGGTTGAATAAGGTTGAATATTGACGTTATACAAAATGGTACATTTTGTACTCGATGTACTGTGTTTTGCATGTAGAAAACTAGTGGATGATTTACGTTAAGTTAGAACAAGACACTATTACATTTGGTACATTGACACCATCTTAACAATCATTATGTTGTCCTTAAGAAGAAGAAAGAAGAAGAAGATATACTTTATTCATTCCTTACAGGGACATTTCAGGAGGACAAAGTGCAGGAGGAACATCCCTCCTCTTCATGATTTAAGGCATTTTTTCCCCCTGTTTATATATTAAGCTGAATACAAATGTTGCTGAGGGTGGTCAAAATGCACAACTCATCAAGTCCACAACGGGCCCTTATAACCTCAACTACGTAAATCACAGAGCGTGATTCCTACTTGGAGTACAATAAAACGGAAACCTAATTCCTCTTTTCTCTTCCTCTGTCGCTCCTCTCAAAGGTAAGCAAACTAGAGCGCGACAAGCTCCAGGAGGTGAAGCGGGTGCGGGAGCAGGAGCAGCACCGTCACACTGCCATGATGACGGAGCAGCGGGCCAAGTGGCACGAGGAGAAGTTAAAAGAGCTCCAGGCTCTCAGGGAAAACCTGACACGGCAACATGAGCTGGAGCTGGCCCGCCACGCCAAAATCAAAGACCAGGAGAACCAGAGGCTCAAAGCGTCTCTGAACGCCATGCGCGATGGCAGCGGAGAGAAGGTGAGACTAAGAAAAGGGAGTGAAGATACACTCTAAAAACAAATGCTTTGGCTCAACAAAGAAAATCAACGCAACAGTTTGTATCAATGTTTATTGAGTTAAGACAACTTCTAATGAAATTGTCTTAAAGCAACAAAGTTATTTGAGTTAGGGGAGAAGGCTTTTCCTCTACAATCAGAGGTGTTTTAAATTACCACTTACTTAATAATTGGTAGCATAAACACATGTTTTCAAGTTGATTACTCACAAAATTAAGTTGTTCCGACTAGTTTTACCACATGATTTAAAAGGAATTTGAAGTTGTATGTACTTAATTACCATCATTGTGAACACACGTTTTTAAGTTGATTACTCCAAAAATTAAGTTGTTCAAACTTGTGTTACCGTATGATTTAAAAGGAATTTTAAGTTGTATATACTTAATTACCATCATTGTGAACACACGTTTTTTTTAACCATTTATAAATTAAGTGAAATTATTGTATTCAATAGTTGTTGTTTTTTTTTAGCTTTTTCATGTTTTTGCCTTTAAAGAAAGAAATTAATGAATTCCACAACAAAAATATTAGGCAATTCACTTTTATTTTGAACTGCAGTTGTTTATTTCAACACATGATGTTTCAATCAGGAGAGAATTCATTTAGTTTGAACATTTATTGACATATGCCATATGATAAGGTGCATGAACACCTGAAATCACAGTTGACTGCAGGAGAGAGGAGAACCATTTTAAAGTGTGGCTGCAGCACGGTGATTGGCTGCTGGAGAATGAGGTGAAATGTAATAGGTTAAAGAGAACGCCTGTGATGAGCTGATTATATACAGCTACAGAGTGAATGTATATACACCCAGTCTTCCTGAAAGAACTTGCGCTGAGCTTCATTTAAATCTTGAAAAAAAAAAAGATAAATAACACAAATTTAAATTGCCCCACAAATAATAAATAAACACATTAGCCATATGTGGCTAAATGGGGACACAGCAAATAAATGCTGCCATCACAACAAAGTTAGAGGCCTTTGCATATTTAAAACCAGTGCCAAATATGTCAAATCTGTAAAGTTTTTGTAAAACTACAGAAACAAACTCTCAATGGCCACCAATCTGCAGATCACACACATCCATTTTACAAAAGATGTAACAAAGATGTTTACACTGCCGACAGTCATTATGTCCTTTTGAAGCACATTAAATAATAGGTTAGCGCATAAGAGATAATGAATTAGGTAATTGCATACTTTTCAAACTGTCACTCTTAGCTAATTCAGAGCCATTATTACCAGCTGCTAAAGCAACGCTGGTATTGTTTTCACCTATTGAGTCTGCATGTGTGTGTCGTCATGGCAATGTGGTCCTGAAGACACACAGAGGTGCTTTTGAGTAAAGGATGTGTGTACTTTTGCCATCTCTGGGCTAAAGCCAGGAAAGATGGGATTGGCTCAGGATAACCAGCCTCCCTTCTGAAGAACAGTTCCGCTATAAATAAAAAACCATTACTCATATTTCCTTTCTGTGGAAATCCCCGCACATGAAAACCTTTCTTTTTGCCCGCCTGCTTCTTCCAGGTGCGGACAGCCCTGACTATGGAAGCCAAGGAGGATGCTCGCCGCTTCTTCGACGTGGAGAGGGTGAAGCTCCTGCAGGAGATATTGGAGCTGAAGTCTCTGAAGAAGCAGACGGACGAGGCTCTCAGCAACATGATCCAGTCCGACAAGATGAAGGCTGGCGACCTGCGGGTGGAGCACCAGCAGCACCAGGAGCAGATCTCTAAGATCAAGTGGGACTCTGAGAAGGACATCCGCAGACTGGTAGGCACAGTCACCGCGACCAAATGATTAAATACTGAACCGATATGTGTCCATTGGCCAAAATATGAATTAGGACCACTGTGCTTGTTGAATATTCATGCAGGGATTGAGCATAGTGTAGTAGATTTTATTTTCAGCTTCATTTCTATTTCATGTGTACTGAGGTATAATCTTAAAGCTTGTCTATTTTCATTCAGTCAGTATTATTTATTTATTATTTAAATGTATTCTGCAAATAATTTTCTAGTAAATCCTAAAATCACAAATTTACGAGAAAGCAATTTGATATGTAATATTTATTTATTTGGAAGGACATTGATTACTTTTGGATTAAATTCATCACACCACAGTCTCTGTATATTGTGCCTGTAGTGTCTACCTACTAGTCATATGTACTGCTGTCCTAATATGGTGTTGCAAAACATTTTGAATAATGTTTAATTTGCTTATTTTGTCTCACTTTAAGTAGAAAAACTATCCTGATAATAAAAATATGTCAGCTTGTACTTACAATTACCAATAACAAGAAACTGAAAAAAGGCAGAGCCGGACAATGTTACATATTTATATTCTTTTGAGTACTTTCATTGTCAACATATTCACTGTCTTTTATTTTTATTTAAATGATAACATTTAGCTATAGCAGTGTAACACCGGAAATAAGAGACTCTGTTCAACAGAACCAAGTTACGTCAGTACTTAATGATGTCCTTCTTCCTCACTATAGGTGGATGAAATCAAATCTAAAGATCGCTGCATCTTTGCTCTGGAGAAGGAACTGGATTCAACGGCGGGTTTCTTGCAGAAGCTGCAGTTCCAGAAGGAAGCTCTGGACGACCAGCTGTTCCTGGTGAAGGAGGCTGAGTGCGGCCTGGGAAGCCCCAAAAGAGAGATTCCCGGCAGAGCTGGAGATGGAGCTGAGCACTGTGGTAGCCCAGTAAGTAGAGAGGAAGAGCAGGGAGAAGTTCCATGCTCCATGTAATCATATCAAATATTTAGATAATACTTTTAATTTGAGTGAGAACTGGAAGCCTTCCTACTTCTTAAACCCTATTCTTTCCCCTTTGTTTTAGCTCTTGAATATCAATTTGTAGCTAAGTTGCAATGTGCCATGGTTTTGTAACAAATTATTTGAGCATGCATGACATTTTGTGTAACTCCATTTGACAAAGAAATGCTATAAGCTCAATTTTGGCAGTCTGAGGCCCATTCCCAAACCGCCCCCTACACCCTACCCCCAGTGCTTCTCAAAGTGTGGTCCGCGGACCACTGGTGGTCCGTGACCGCGCCCTAGTGGTCCGTGAGTATATTGGTAACATTTCACATTTGAAATAAATAAATACATTTACGTTTTCCGCACTCTCGCGGGAATATTTCCGCAATGGAAGGAGCTTAAGTTTCACTTTCTATTGCATGATAAAGCCCAGGGCAACACCTTCGTCACACATGTTGCTACTTGTTTGTACCATTGTCAGGCGATTTATAATCTGTTTTCTAGTAAAACGATGTGTTTTGGGATATTTGTGGAGTTAGGTGGTCTGCGAGTGTTTTTTTATTGGTTAAGTGGTCCTTGGTATGAAAAAGTTTGAGAAACACTGCCCTACACCCTACCCCTCCGTTTGCGCGTTCACGCGGAGGGTCCGCCATATTGAGGGCTGTTCCAAAGCAACGAGTGTGGAGGGGGAGTGGGCTATCAAGCCCTCAAACAGCGAGTCTGCAGCGGTGCTGACTTGAGACCGGTCTCTACCTGACCGGTCTCAACGCTGTGTGTGTCCGTCAGGAAACACGCTGTTTACAAGTAGTTCCAGCAAACATCCACTGATAAACTGCGATGTTAACAACCTCATGATAACCTCATATGTTTTTAACTTAGGATCATACCTGTGTTTAGTCTAGAAAAAGGTAAATGTGTGCATTTTATTATAAAGTTGTGTATATTTACAGACCGTTGCAAAAACTAAGAAGCTTATAAACATCAGGTTTAAAACCAAAATAGCTTTGAAACACAATGAAAGATGTTTGGAGTTTTATTTGAGTTATTCATTTAAACTTTTTGTCAAAGAGATGCTGATTTGAAGCCGTTGTTACATACAGTTACGGCATTTCCTGTTTCTGCCGGAGAGAGGGGAGGCCGTCCCAAAGCTTGCTGCTGTATTTACTCCCTCCATCTGACAGGAGGGAGCCTCGTTGAGCTGCGAGTGTGGCTACAGACGGAGTTCACTCCATCACGGAGGGGTAGGATTGAGGGAGTGGTTTGGGATTGGGCCTAAATCTCCGAATCTTGGGCTCAAACTGAAAGCTCTGTGTCCTTTAAAGGGGCTCTATTATGCTTTTTGGGGTTTACGCTTTCCTTTAGTGTGTTATACAGGTTTTTGTGCATGTAAATGGTCTGCAAAGGCTAAAATCCCAGTTCATGCCAGAGGGAGTTTCTCTCACAAACAATGCCGTAACACAGTGACATCACTATTGAACACTTGCGCTTCTATTGGTTAGTGCTCCAACACATTGGACGTGATAGGCTAAGGGGCGTAACATCTCCAGGCGGTTGACCAATCATAATAGACTGGGCTCTGGTTTCAGACAAAGGCTAAAAAGAGGTCCTGCAGCACAGCAATATGGGGAAAAAATAGCGCTTTTTGAATATTGAAGCATGGAAGCATGTCACAGTAAAGCACAAAATACAAATATGAAACCTGAAAATGAGCATAATAGGGCGCCTTTAAAAGTGATATTGTTGCCAATTGGATCCGACAGAGATATATATTCTAATCTTTGCTATTAGGGATTTTGACATTAGAAAAGATGCTTTGACATCAGGATGTGGCTGCGTCCTTTCTTAGCTTAGGTTATACAGTAAAGTCAGACAGTTATGATGATATGCAAGTTAAGAGAGCAGTGCTCACATGATTGAGTGGAAAGGTTCACGTACAGACTGAATGGCGCACAGGATTAGTTTTGTGCACCCTCAAATTTGCCAGAAGCATGAGATATGTGAGCAGCGTTTAATCAATGATTTGTCGAAGTCCCATGATCAGCTCAGTATCAAAATAATGTTTCAGTCAATTGCCACATTGAAAGCGTGTCAACTCATGACTGTTAGTGTGAACATTCATCTGATTTCGATGTAATATTCATGAGTTTAAGCAATTAAAAGTTTACAGATATGGCAATTTTGTTGTAAAACACTCCAGATATGTTAAATAATAAACGGTTTGTTTGTTTCAGGACTTAAGGAGAAACCAAAGGCGTCTTGCTGATCTCAACTCGACAGTACGCAAATTAGAGGACCGCAACTCACTGCTGGTGGATGAGAGGAATGAGCTGGTATGACCAAATGATTCACTTAAAGAACATGAACCTTATGCATTCTCTTTCTTCCCTCGTTTATCTTCATATTTCTGCATTTCCTTCAAATCTCCAAGCTTTTATCTTTCACATGTCAGTCCAGATTTACTGTATATTCATAAGCCCCTTTCTCACCACCAGCTGAAGCGAGTTCGAGAGTCAGAGAAACAGTCCAAGCCACTGCTGGACAGGAACAAGCTGATGAGTAAGAGGAATGATGATTTGACTCAGACGATCCAGAAGCTAGAGGACAAACTCAAGATCCTGTCCAGGGAGAACAATGAGATGGTCAGCACAAAGTCACATCTGCATCACATATGCATGAAGTATTTGGTTTGTCAACAGGGACAGACTGATTTAGACAAGGTTATGGTAAATATGTGTGCTGTGTGTCTGCAGAAGGAGAAGATCAGCTCCCATCCTCCACTGAAGAAGCTAAAGTCTCTGAATGACCTGGACCAAGCACACGATGACCAGGAAATAGCCTTCCTCAAGCTCCAAGTCCTGGAGCAACAAAACATAATTGATGAGCTGACAAGAGTAAGTTTACACTGATTTAATGAGGACGCTGTTTAGCAGGATCACGCAGTATTTGTATAGTTGGCAGTTAGGGTCAAGGGGGTTAATCCTGAGCTTCTGTTGAAATGTGATGCAACTTTACCCTTATGTTAAAAAAACTAAAAAAAGTAGAATGAATAATTCACAGTATAGTGAGACACCTTGTTTTCTTCTTGCATGTTTTGCATAAATTAATATATCTAAAAGTGTGAGAATCTAAGATTTCTGGGTCATCAATAATTCAACTAATTACTTATAAGGACGTTTTTGTATAAAAGCCATGTTTTATTCAGCAGCAATGAACAGATTCTGTAGTATATTGAGTCATTGGTGTCATTGAGTTGGTTTTCTTCGTATTTATTTTGAAAGAGAAGAGAGAAAAACTCTTCTTACAGTGCTGTTTTATCCTGTTTCTTTTTTCCCAGGACCGGGAAAAACTACTAAGAAAGAAAAGGCATAAAAGAAGTTCAAGGCCAATAAAGGTAGAACCATTTGTCGTTTCTTGCTTTTAATCTTAAAATGTAATTAGTTTGGTTAAAACTTTTGTGAAAGAGTATTTTTTGGAAGCAGAATTCATTTTATCATCACTTAAAGGTAGGGTAGCCTATGTAAGTTTAAGATACACTTTTTGTTATATTCCATGGAATGCTCTTAACATCCGATAGCAATGAATATCTTAAGTGCTTTGACAAAAAATCCATAAAAAAATATCATCTGTGGAAGCCGTAATACTGTAAAAAGCACGACCAATCATTTTAGCCGGCCCGGCTAAAATAACTGGATGGCCTACCTGCCTGTCAGCCTTCCATCTGTGCACAAACTTATCTCGTGCCCTCATTGGTCATGTGCACGTTCGTGTGTGTTGGTGGAGGGGCTCTGTAAGGAAGTGGCAGATTTTCTCCGGTCGTGTATTTTGAAATTCTAGCGATCTCGAGCCGGTTTCTCAAACTTACATACCCTACCTTTAAGGAGCATTTCAGTAATGATTATTTGTGGTATAAGCGTATATTATTTGTCTGTGTAGAAATAACTCTATTTAAGGCTTTTTAATTGTCAATCTCATGTCTCGGCTCTACACGTATTAAAGTGAGTCTTGTATAATACACGGGGACACGCCACACGGGGAGGCGTGTGGCGCAGTGGATAGAGCCTTGGTGTTTGGATCAGGGGGTCACAGGTTCAAACCCCACTGCAGTCAGCATGTTGTTGTGTCCCTGGGCAAGACACTTCACCCCAAATTGCTCCTGTGGGGATTGCCCACAGTATTGAGTATGTAAGTCGCTTTGGATAAAAGCGTCTAACAAGTAACATGTAATGTATAACATGTAGAACCTATATGTGTATGAGTCATTAACAGTTACACAAAACTCAAAATGTAAACTTCTTCCTCTGACACTTGCACCTGCATTGATATGTTTTGATTAAGTAAGGGATAGTCCCATAGGGGTTTTGTTGAATTTAGTTGAATACCACATTGAAAAAGGAAAATAAAAAGACTTCTGGGATACCCAAGAGTGAGGACTTTGGTCAGAGATGGTTTAGATCTGTACATATTTCAACTTCCTTCTTTGCAGAGGCACATCGTAGTAGACACCTTCTTCGGGTATGATGAAGAGTCGATGGACTCAGAGTCGTCCTCAGTGGCTTCCTTCAGGATGGACAGAACTCCTGCGACTCCCGATGAAGACCTGGAGGAGGTGAGATTTAGCCTAATGTTCGCCAAGTCACCAAGATAAAACTTACTTAAGTGACTTAATACTCAAAATCCTGAATTTACTCCATTCAGACACATTCGAATAGGCATATGCTGTATCCAAATTCGCCTATAGACTTTGACCTCTTGCCTGGTGTGTCACAAAAGGGTCTCGCCAACGAGGAGTCGGAGCTGCGTTTCCGTCAGCTCACCAGAGAGTATCAGGCCTTACAGCGAGCATACGCCCTGCTGCAGGAACAGAAAGGAGGCATTCTGGATGCTGAGATGGAAGCCAAGGTAAAACACAGTCAGAAAATCACTGTTTATCACTCCCATCTACGTATACTACTTACTTACTGTAATAATTTCCCTTTTTTTTATACATTCTATCTAAATATCACTATTCATCCACAGGCAATGTTTTGTTTATTTGTTTATTTTTAACAAAAACCTATTTTCTGTTGTAAAGGCACAGGTGTGATTTGATTGATATTAATTTTGTGTTTCTCTAAGTAAATGTTTTTAATTGTTTTGTGGTTGAGAAATGGTTCTTACTGTTCTTCACCACCAGCTGAAACTGAGGGAATCGCCACAAATAGAGTTGCTAAGAGCTTTGACACTGTAAACATACCATTGTTGTATGATCAATTCCTCTCAGTTTAGCAATCTAGTGAAAGGAAAAAACTCTTCTGTTTCGGAGTAGGTTGGTGATAAAGTTGAGGAATGCAAGGATTCTTTGGAGATTAAGATACGTCGCAAAGTAGTACACTTTTTGGGTGGTGGAGATGCCATAAGTAGTATAGGATCCCCTGATGGACATTTAGCAGGGTTGCATACATTTCACACTGAAGTGGAATGTGATTGGCTCACAGAGAATGTGTCTAAATATTGGTTTAATTAGAAGTGAATGGCCACAGTCAGCTGAATAAGTTGTAGGAGAGAGAGAGAGAGAGAGAGAGAGAGAGAGAGAGAGAGAGAGAGAGAGAGAGAGAGAGAGAGAGAGAGAGAGAGAGAGAGAGAGAGAGAATTATAAAAGGCTTCTTAAATTATTTTGCTTTACTTTTCTCATGGCTGCTAAAAGACTGGGAGTTTCACACAATTGTAATATATTTACTGGTCAACATACCTTACTGTGGGTTAGTAGTACAAGTTATGCAGTGACAACTAGCCTTTTTATTGAGTACTGAAGCCTGTAAGCCTGTTGTACATTTGTGACTGCACATTTACATAAAACAACACAATACAAAGCTTCATTCAGTTCAAGCCTGTTTTGATTCTACCTGTAACAGAGTGCTGAGAGAGAGGGTAGAGGAGTTCATGATTTATCTGATGTGAAGGAGAGAAGTGGCAATGCAGTTCAGTAATAAGTGGTATTTGCCACAAAAATAATAAAGAAATACCACAAGAGCTTCCCGTTTACTTTACGGAGACATAACAGAGACAATGCACAGCCCAAACACAATAAGGCTGCTTATACAAAGGTCAGGTAATGGCCACCCCTTTACTAAGCATCCTCTTAGGCTTTCTAACAATGCATCTGATGTTATCTGCACGTACCAAATTGACTGGGCCCTGCATCACCAATCTGTCCTTATATATTAATAATAATAGATTTCATTTATATAGCGCCTTTCAAGGAACCCAATGCCGCTTTACATAAGGTAAATCTTTAGAGGGTGTCTCGTAATGTTAATTCAAATGTGAATACAATAAAGCTTCTTAAAGGCTATCTTCATTGATATGAGGGAAGAAAAGGAATATGTTGTCATGTGGTAATGGTTCTTTTAAAATAACTATATAAGTGTGTGTCTGGTTTTGATGAGCATTATAATAATAAATAAATAATCCCTTTCCTGCATGGACCCACACTTGAGAAACAGTGATTTTGTTACTAACGAAAGTCTGTTTTGCTGATGTTTCAGGCTCAGGAGCAGCTCCAGGCAGAGGTTCTCAGGTATAAAGCCAAAATAGAAGACTTGGAGAAGGAACTGAACCTAAAGGGACAGGTAGGAGACACAAACACACACATTGATACCTGCGGATCATTGTGTTGATGTACGGTGAAGGAAAAATAAAAGAAATATCACACTATATAAATATGAGCAGCACATCCTGAAAACAAATATTTGAAGGCAGTTTACTGTGTGCACACATGCATGCAAGGTCTGTGTGATGTTTACTCTCTGCTACAACACCACACCGAAGGCTGTAATAACAATGTCGTTTTTTAAATTGATGCATAGCAAATGGTATAAGATATATATTGCTAATGCTTTATTTTATTTCAAAAAGTCTTATGTATATCTCTTTAAGAGACAAGTATACAGCAAAATATATTGAATCAAATATAACGAATACAAATTTAGTTAGATAAATAAACATTTAGTTATATGAACAAACAACTCCTCTCAATCAACATGTCCCATACTGTCCTCAATGTCATGCCATCACAACATTTGGAGTTGATCTTTGTTCTGTTTGACAGGGAACATGTATGTAATGATATTTCTACTGTCTTTAAATAGCTTTGATGTAATGCATCAAGTGTTTCTGTCCTCTACAGGACTCCAAATGGGTGGAGGAGAAGCAGCTCTTCTTACGAAGGAATCAGGAGCTATATGACAAGGTTGGACTTCAACGTAGTTTTCCTGATAAATACACATCTTTAGTGTTTCTCAGTGTTTGTGATTGTGTGAATTGCAGTTTAAAAGGTATCTGATATGTCAAAGGAGTATTTTATGTTGGGGCAGCACTATTATTCTTCAATACCATTATAAATGCCTGAAATATTACAATTTACAGTTTAGAGTTGTGGACAACTGCCTTTTCCTGTCTGGTAATTCTACCTTTATGGTGTCCAGCTGGAAAAGATGGAGTCAGAGAGCAGCCGGGCGCAGCAGGAACTACAAGACTCCAGAGATCAGAACGAACTGTTGGAGTTTAGGATACTGGAGCTAGAGGTGAGTCACCTGTCATGAATAACGTGGCAATCTTTTATTTCAATCATGGTTCAAATAGTGACACCATATTCACTGGTGGTAACAGAAACTGTGGTTTAATACTGTAGGTATATACTGGGGACAGCAAAACAAACCATTTTATTAAAGAAATCAGTAAGGAGGAGTTCAGCTCTTTATCTATCATATCACTATAGCTTCCCCTTCCATTATTCCCTGTAATATCTCAAACTCATCCAATGACAAAAAAGGCCCAAAATCCATTGTTGTCTCGTTTTGTAGGCACATTTTTAGATGAACGATGGCGCTCAGTGTCACATTGCATTTACTGTGACTACTTCATAATAAAAGACAACTTATTTGGCCTTTTAATGTCAAGCTGCAGTATTAAAACAAAGGTTTGGTTTGCAATTCTATTGTTATTGTTTTCGGGGTGCATTGCCACAGACAGTCAGAAGTTCCTTCTCAATGAGGCTTCAGGAAAACACATTGGAAGAAATATGGAAAAAGTGGAGAATTTACATATCCCAAAGACGACCATCCCTTGTTTGACTGTGTTTCTATACACCGATTGAATGTATATGTATATATGTGTATGCATGGTCACATGTATGTGTATTGAATGTATATATGTATGTTGATATGTATGCATATGTACATGTGTAGACATTTGCTATTTCAAACAACCCCTGTGTACTTTTCCGTTTTTATTTTATTTGGACTAATTTTGTTTGCTATTTAATTTGTCACTTTCGGGTCTTTAAAAATATATGATTTGAAAAACTGTACTTGTATTATAATGTGACCCCAAATAAATAAAGAATACAAAAAGAAAAAAAAGAAGTTCCTAATCAATATTGCAATACTTCTATCAATGATCCATTGGCTCAATCACAATTGTTTTACCATGCTTGGCAACATAGTGACTAACTCACTAATTTTTACATAAAAACGTTAAAAATGACTACAAAAAGTAGCTATGTTAATATCCTATCAAGTTAGACACTCATGTAGCCAGACGACCCAACAGTCTATCAGTGTGTGGTTTTTGTGTTACATTATGTGCTGCAGTGCAGATACCGGCGGGAGCTTTTGAGGGCCTCATCTGCCACCTATGAGCAGAGAGGGGAAGAGCTCAGTACAGTGTGAGAATACACTGATCACACCTTAACAGTAATTAAAGGCTTTCTCCATAAGGTGTTTGTCTAATGCTTCTAAAGATGGAAGCAGGGGTAGCAATTTTACTTGAATAAGTTACATTTTCATGACTAAACAAGGCCAATTTCCCCACCTGCTGTTCTGAAACTTTAATATCAGTACAGAAAAATGGAAACAAGGATTGATTCAGGGACTTTAGTTCAGTTCTGAATGACCACATTGATTTGGATCTATTTGAAAAATGCTGTCTGAAGCGGAAAGTCTAAAACAAGCCGATACAAGTAAAAATACTATTTAATCCCAGTTCTAATAGAGTCAGGAGGGGCTCATAATGTTTGTTAGTTATTGTGCCTTCCCTGTTTCATGGTATGTTTTCTGCTGTTTTCATAGGAGCGTGAGAGGAAGTCCCCTCCATTCAACCACCTGAGGATGCATCCCTTCTCTGAGGGAGTCAGCGCTCTGCAGATCTACTGTATGAAGGAGGGGGTCAAGGTACAAAGGAGAAGGACTCCACTGCATTATTTATAGTAACTGATTACAAAGTATAAGAGCAAGAGAGCCCATGAATGTTATGGCTGTACAAACCACAAGCTGTTTGGTGCCATATTTAGAGCATGCAACCCTATAAACATCAATAGAAATGTTTTGTGGAAAGAAGTTTAGATTAAAAGTCTAAATTAATGGTTAATGCCTTTTTTGTGTATAATTCTGATCTTTATTCTGTTTTCATTACAGGACGTGTGCATACCAGATCTCATCAAACTTCTAGATATCCTGGGAGACAACGGGGTAATCATTATGTCATTTAACTTTTCATAATGTATGACACTATATACTGTAGGTAGATTATTAACAGAGTTCTTAATTTCTCCTTTTTTGTAGAACTTAAGAAATGAGGAGCAAGTGGCCATTATTCAGGCTAGCACTGTTTTGTCACTAGCAGAAAAGGTTTGGAAACTATATTATGGTTCTATTAAATAATGAAAAAATAAATCACAGAATAGTTGTGCTAACTAATTGTTGCCATTTGTTGCCCTCTAGTGGATTCAACAGATTGAGGGGACGGAGGCGTCGCTGCACCAGAAGATGATGGACCTGGAGATAGAGATGGTCGGTTCAAACAACCCAGAAAAATTTAATAATTTATTTAATATGACATTGCCTTTCATATACATGTTTTCTTACTTGCAATGGATCACAGCAGCTTTAGTTCAGTGTGATATGAAGGTAGTTATCCTCCATAACGCCTCATGCACAGCACACAGATTGGTTTATATAAAGTATCACGGTACAAATGAGTTGCAAAAGAAAACAAATAATACCCCCTAACTCTGTGTCTGATTTACTTTCTTCTGCACAGGAGATGTTCTGTAAACAGAAGGGATATCTAGAAGAGGAGCTGGACTACAGAAAGCAGGCCCTGGACCAGGCCTACATGGTACGTGTGGGTTTGAGTGTGATGTATCACTTTGTGGGGCCCAAATATGTTTAGTCACTGGGACTCATTTATTATGTGGGGACAAATATTCAGGCCCCCTAATGTACTTAATTTACTTAAATGTTTGTTCCTGGTGTAAGAGTATGGTTAGATTCATGAAAAGTATAGGTGAAGGATTTAGGGTTATGTATACAGTAAATGTGGTTAACAGTAGGACTGCAGGTAATATAGGTAGGTTAATACAAAGTTTAATTCTTGCATCTTTGACATCAAAAGTAACAAACACCTTGTTTTTATTTTCCCGACAGCAAATCCAGGAGTTGGAAGCAACGTTATACAACGCCCTGCAGCAGGACAAGGTGCTTCATGTCTCAATTTGCAGCTGAATTGAAATGAAAACTACTCTACATATTTTAAATAATCAGTATATACCTGGAAACCTCTTGTTAACCTTAAGTAATGCTGACATTCAGGTCTTTTAATATACTCAATTATGTGATGTTTGTCGAATGAAGACATCAATTTTAATGTCAAGAATGGTGTCGCAACATTATAGGTTTTCTTATAGCACACATTCTGAGATCATGAACATCACACTAATGTGGAACATCTGCGCTATCTGCAGTACGTCCTCATGATCGACGTACAACGTTATTGCAAAGGGATACATTTGTGACTATGGAGACTTTGCAATTATCAACACACATCAAGAAAACATGGGTTTCCTACAGTTTTGAGATTACTTTTACGTCTTAGCTACTGCTGACACAAGAAGTGTTCGAGAAAGAACAGCTGGACCAAAGTGTTGAGAAGTGTCTTTAAGAAATACAAATCCATTATGGTATCCACTGTGCCTGATGCCCGTTTTGCTCCTGCAGGTGATAAAGTACGGCGAGCCTCTGGACGAGCTTCAGAAGGACGAGCTGCGGACAGCGGTGGAGAAGCTGAGGAGGCAGATGCTGAGGAAAAGTCGAGAGTACGACTGCCAGATCCTCCAGGAGAGGATGGAGCTGCTGCACCAGGCACACCAGGTCTGTAGACGTCTGTGTGATGGAGAGGGATTTGTGTGTGTGATGATAAAGCTGTGTGGAAATAGCTTTGTATGTTTTATTTGTTTGTGGGAAATCCCTCTTGGCTAGAGATAATTGAGCCTTCCCTTTTCCCCTCGAAGAAACGCATTCCTTACAGTTTTCTCTCGGAATATTTGCAGAGAATTCGTGACCTTGAAGACAAGACGGAAATCCAGAGGAGGCAGATTAAAGACCTGGAGGAAAAGGTAGCATATGTTTCATTTTCACACGCACAAATTAGACTTTGATGCAAACAAAGAAGTACTTCTAAGTGCAATAGCTTAAATATCTCTGCTCTCAAGCCTGTGAAATCAATTAAAGATTACATTTTGAGTGTATTAATTTTTTCACATTGTTTGTAGTGAAAACAATCTTTTTAAAAAGCTCAAAAACATGTCAGATTACATTCTTACATACATATTATTAAGACAAATATTTCATATATATCAGTGTCAAGTTTCCTTGTACATTAAACCTTTGTGCCTGTCTCTTCTGATACTAACATAACTTACCTATGTGTTCTCCTTTTAACTTCTTTGTCTCTTCTTTTTCTCTTTCTTCTCCAGTTTTTGTTTCTGTTCTTGTTCTTTTCTCTTGCCTTTATCCTATGGCCTTGAAGTCTTTGGCGTGTCCTGTAGCAGAGGTGAGTCCTGAGGGCTTTGAGTAGAAACTACAGACTTCCGCCGCCTCTTCTCTGGACCTCGGTCAAATAATTTCCCGTTCAAGCAGAACCTGCACAGCAAGTGTTTGGCTCTGTGCAGCCTCCAAAGTAAACGCTGGGAATGATCTGGCTACGGAGCCTAAATTGTCTTTGACAAGCGCTTAGCAAGTTGCATTTCTGTAGTAATATAAGTACTTCCTATATAGGCTCCTGACCTTCAGAATAAAAGCACAGTAGTGATTCATCTATGGAATTTACTCATCATACCCAAATGTAAACAACAAAGGGTCCTATTTGAACTGTAGATGCTGCTCATGGTTAAATGAAAATAAGATAGTAAGAGCACAGAAATGTTATACAATCAACACAAATGATGCATCAACACTTATTTTATTATGTAATTAATCATTTATCAACAATTAATCTGTAGTTGTTTTAAAAAAGGAAATAACAAACTGAACAATAGTAATATTTTGTACATGGGGATCTTTTTGTTACCGCACTGTGACCAACTATTTGACTCTGGCCGGCTCACTTTCCCTCCTACACATGTACCTGCTACAGCTTGCCTTCAACATTCAACCATAATTTCTTCTTCATCTTTGCACCTTTAACGTCTTTGAATTTAACAGTTACATTTAATTTTCTTCCATTTTACATCAGCATAAGATATTTACTTCACATCAACATCACCATATCTTGTGTTTGTTTGTTGTCACCTCTTTGATTTCAACCCGTGTTTCTACGTGATTTTTTCTCATTAACCAGACTTTGGGGTTTCTTAAATGGTTGTGCAGGAACATTTATTTGTACTTTTAGGTTGATTTATTTTTAAGTGTGGATGGCTGACAGATTTGCTGAAACATTGCTTAACCCCAAAAAGAAGTAGAATATATACTGTCGTCAAAACATAATGAAATTACCTTTGACTCCTCTAATTCTTTGTGACTCCTCTCTCTTTGTCTCTCAGGTGGTGTGTCAGCTTGGGGATCTTGTTTGTGACTGCAGTGTTATTTATTTTCTGGACGACTGTGGAACAATGTGCGTAGCAGTGGCTGCTCGTGTCATAACATCAGTGACTGCTGTCAGTGTAGGTGGATGTGTCGTGTGTTGGCCATGGACGTTTGCAATTCAGATTTTATCCTTACATTTTTTTAAATGGGGGTGGGGTTCTCAGGATACTGCCCAGGGGGACTTTTTTTTAGATCGGCATTGGACAATAAACTTCTGTAAATGCAGCTAGGAGTGCTGCAGCAGGCTGCAAGAATGACACACACACCTACATACACACAGTTAACGGACACGCATGCATATACAGACGCATGCAGATGCAAACACACACTTACACACTTACACACTTACACACTTACACACTTACACACACACACACACACACACACACACACACACACACACACACACACACACACACACACACACACACACACACACACACACACACACACACACACATGCTTTGACAATTCCAAACCAAAGCCTGGGAAATGTTTTCTCTGCCATGCAGGGTAATATAGTGTCATTCATCACCATTTAGTCACAGTATAAGCAGACAGAAAAAACTCATAGACAAGGCAAACAAACCTCCGGACCACAACATCTCTTCTTTCCTTTCAAAACCCAAAAGGATGTTCTTCACAAATGCAACTTCTTGGTGAATAAAAGCGAGCCAACTCAGGTCCCAGGAGTGTAGAGGCCAGTACTGGTCTCAGGTCAGGTTATAATAAGGATCACTAAGGAATATGGTGTGTCATGGCTGATCCCAGAGTGGCGCGAACACAGACTGCTTGGACTCTCCTGAGGTCAAAGACACTGCAGAGTGGTGTGCAAAGACACTAAAATGGGGATACAGGACACTCAGGTCGACACGTCTTCACGACTTTAAGCGATGAGAGTTCAAAAGAGAAAGACAAGATCACGAGGGGAACGACACTCTTCGATCCAGCTCCACTCAACCTGGATCTCCACAGATTGTGAAACCGCTTCTAATTTATTTTCAAAAACCAGCAGACTGTAAGAGCTTTACTCTCTGGTTATCTTTCTTTTTTACAGCTCCCACCACACAGATACTGTGTCACAAGATTTCCACTGAGAAAACATCCCTACTCTGTACTATAATATATACATTTGTTGATATGTACATGTGACTGAATTATTTAATGTAGTCTCCCCTTTTTATTTCTGTGAATAGTTGCACCTTTTTTTTATTTTCTGAAGCAGCTTGAACAGTTGATGTAGTTTATAAATGACTCTAAAGGGTACACATTGCTCTGTTTTATTGTAGTGACGGCTGCAAAGAATAACTTTATTTCCTTGAAAATTATAAATGAAAAATCGTTGGAATATGAATGTGGAATAATCAAATATTTGCCTCCCTTTTCCTTTCCCTCCCTCTGTCACAATGTTCTTTATCAGTCAATCTGTTTCTCTCGGATTGACCAGCAGGGGGTGCTGGTTTCACCTGAGCTACTTTAAATGTTCCCTTTAACGTTACAAATTATTTAACAAACTTGTAAATATGTTCAGGCTTCCTTGCAAAATATCCTCATCAACTCTAGTCGGACAATTGGTAGATTGATTTAAATAAAAAAAATATGTCATCAGTTTCTCCTTGACACACAACAAATTGACAAAAGCTAGATTTATTAAAAGCAGTTCAACTTTAAAGACAATAAAATGTACACATTTCTCTGTCTCAAGATCACTGCAGGTTCTCTCTATCCTTGTTCTCTTACTAACAAAGATGTATTTGATACTAACGACCCTCTTTTACGTAACACTAATCGCCACTTCCCCAAAATGAAACGGGAGAAAGTGAACGCAACACTACACCTACTCCACTTCTCTCCTGCCAATTCAACTGCCCAGTCCCTGCAATATTAACTAGTTGACCGGGCTTGTTCCCTATGTACCTGAGTTAGTGTATCTGCTATCATACCCCTCCCCCCTCCGGCTCCATTCACAGGTCTAGGGTATCGAGGCATCTAATTACATAGCGGACAGTAACACTGACTCTACCAAGGGGCATGGCTGAACCTCATTCACACCAACGCAACTCCGGTTCAAGAGACCCTTTTGGTGCAAACTCAGCTAACTAGCAGTTGCCTTAAATGCACCTTTTCCCCCTTGTATGTTCCACTTAAATGACTATTCTTTCAGGCGGTTGATATCATGTAATGTATTTATATATTTTTAATTTGACAGAGTAATTTTCAAACGTTATCCCGTCTGTCTTCCAACGAGAATCTAACCCCTCCTTCTACTTTCGTCTAGATTATTACATAAAAAGATAAAAGGAGTAATGCTGTAAAAAATTAAAAAAAACATGGCCTTTGACCTTTAAAGAATTGTCTTTTTTTACATCATTATTACAGGTGTGCATGGTAAGGGTTTTGTGTTGGAGGTGAGCATTTTTAACCGTCCTAATATTTTTTCTTTTATTAATAGGCCTACTATTTTCATAAATGTTTTCAGCTGAGTAACGTTAATTTTCTCTCTTTCCTAATCTGTCATATTGAGAATTCACCTTTTTGAAGAGTTAGAACTGTATCTCATAAAATGGACTTTATCGATTTTGGGGGAGAACGTAAAGAAACCTATTTAAAACATTCAGTTTAAAATGTTTAAAGTACAGTATAACGCATTTTAATTTATACTTTTGCAGCATTTGTTTTTCTTGTCACGGCATGGTACACGTTTGCATTAGTTAGGCAAGTTAATGATTACTTATTTCATCTGGCAAAACAGTTGCCATTTGTCTTGACTCCATATTTTTTATTTCTGACCTTAAACAGCAGTTGACAAAATAATCCCAATACAGGGTCCATTTATTAGCTGTTATGAAATGTTCTATGGATTCAAACACACTTTGGATTTATTTTGTCATCCACTGTGTCCAAGGTCAATAAGGAACCTTCAGATCATTCATGAACTTCTTTCATGCTATCTTTGTTAACATGATTTATTTTTACAATATGCACTACTCAGTTGTTTGTGTTGCAGTGCTGTCTCCTGTCAGTCTCTATTGGTAGCTGTCACCAGTCGTCCCTGCTAATGAGGTTCTGCTCTGTTCTTGCAGGAAGAAGGAAATGGGCTGAGCTGTGGCTGGTATTGATTATTCTTCCATATGATGCACGTTACTCTGAAAATACATGTAGCATAGTGACTGCAAGTACATGTTTTGCAGGTCAAAAAGTACTTTTCAACACCAAGGTCCTATTGTGTTTCATGAATTCATTCATAAAAACACTGCTCAGTATAAGGAAATGGTTGCGGTGAAGACTTGTGGTATGTTATGAGTCATAAAACCTTACTACATTGAAGCAGTAACGCCTTCAGGTTTGTTCTTTTAGGTTTTGCAGGACACAGAGCAGGGTTAGTCCAGGATAACAGGCTGTCTTTTCACTTTAGTCCTGCCTGTCCTTGCCAAGCCAGAGGAGAACAGCGGTTGAGCCAGGTTTAGTATTGTAGACCACTCCTGCCAGAGGATGTCTGTCATAAAAGTGTTTTATATCTGTCCTCCTCTCAGCACTCACACAGAGGTCACTCTCAGAGGTCACAGTGTGCATTGCACTGACTAACAGCATTCTCAAAACTATTTAGAAAGATACAAAATGAAGTGTAAGAGAAACATGAAAAGAGCTAGTTTCCACGTTTCATTCAGCCTTTTTCTCAGATATTGAACAACCTAAACATGTCCTAAAAGAACAATAGAGCAAAAATCGAAACAGCTTTCTCTGCAAAACGTCTACTACTGTATAGATGCTTTTCCAGCACATGGCTTCAACTAAATCACTTTTGACATGACTCTTTTTGTTTAAATGATGCGTCATTCTAGAGGAAATAAAAACTCTTGTGTCACTGTGTTAGAAAGCCTGCCTGGCTGTAAGGGATATACAATGCTGAAATGTCTAATAGCACATCCTCAGAGGCTCTTTAACCTCATTTGAGCAGCAGCTGGTCAGCAGCCCAACCATCTGAGGCGGATGCAGCTGCAGGGTCTGCTTTGTTCAGATGCTTAGCAACACTGAAATCATGTAAGATCTCTATTCAACATGTGAGACCAGTTGCTTTTCGTCTTTATAACTACAGTGAACGTGTACAGATTGATTTCCATCATTCGGAGGAGAGTGCAAAGCAGCTGAAGTGTGTTTTCTCCTGCGGGTTTGACCTCGGTTTGTCATTCCTTTCTGGTTTGGCTGCATCAGGCTCATCCAAGCAGCCAAAGACAATAATTAAATGCTAGCCTTTGTCTTGCTCTCTCCTGTTAATCCTGTGGATGTTTGCGGCCAAATGTTCACTGCTGCTCAGGACTGTCTGCTACTGCTCTAACAGCTCTACCACTATGCTGTTCTGAATAATGAAGGGAACATATATAACTGTTTACTCAGTGTCTAAAAATATATAATAATAAATAAATATCAGGGACCAGAAAAAAATGCCGGATAAGACGAGACATCCAGACAAACTGAAGGTGTTAGGGCATGTTATCCTATAGATCAGCTGGTAGGCTACAGTAGCTGAGATGGAAATCAATACAGGTGTGCTGTGAAACTAACTAAATATTTGGTAAGTGGCTGTTGTGAAAATAAATGTTGCTGTGTAAATGTTAGCAAGTCCTGGGAATTACATTTTTAGAGGTAGAACATTTTATTTTGGACAGTTGTACATATACTGCTTACATTGAAACTGTCACAAGTGCATGGTTGGGACACATTCTTACCATCTGAGGAAATGTATTATTCCGATTTTTTTATATCGTTTGTTGAATGAAGGTACGCCAATGCAGAACACACTTGTAACTTGTCCAACCTTCATATATTGATTAACTCCCATTGACTTGCCTTTGGAACAGTGGCCCACTTACCCACTTCTTCCAGCGTCTTACTAGCTGGAAGGCCTTTTGTGGCAAATCCGTAAGGGCCACTGAGGGTGAATGCATCAAACTCTGTCCTATCTGCCATCATTACATCATGCCTGAGTGAACACGCCAGTGGCAACACGAGATCTGTGAGATCCATTTTTAATATGAGGATGGGGGATAGTCTCCTGCTTTGTTCCAGGATTCCTGCCGTTGTTCCTTTAAAAGCCTCATTAAGTCTGAGCTGTATCCTGTAAGCAAGCATCTTGAACCAGTGCCAAACAGCCTTATCACACAGGATGTCATATATAAGGATCAATGCCAATACTGAGATCATTATTAGTGGAAAACACCAGAAGTTTTTTTATGTTGACATCCAACCACAACATGAAACAAACAACCAACTAAATGTTTGGTTTTAATGGTTTGCAGCTATCATGACATCACTGACATTGAAACCCTGAGCATGAGCTGCCTCAGTCTGCTCTGTCCACCAAATAAAAAAAGTTTGAGACAAACATGTGACTAGGCTTTGAGCACTTTCCTTGCTCTCACATAATATCTAGTTATTTGCAAGTCATCTAAACAGGTTGGTTCCACGTGTAGCCAGCCAAAACGAAAAGTTGATGCATGAGTGAAAATGTAAATAAAGCTGTCAGTCACTTTTGTTTGGTCTCCCTTCTCTCAGCCTTATTTACTGTCTAAACATGAGAAACACACCAGAAGCACGGAGGAAATAACAGACAAGCCATAAAACACATAGCCTCAGTGCTAACCAGAGAATTACAGAGGCAGGAACATCAGTGGGCTCTCGGGTTATCCACAAACCTTGATGCTTGAATCACATTCATGTGATGGGAACATTCTGCTGGCTGGACAAGTATCTGATTCCAACAGAGCCACAGGAACTGATGACAGTGATACAGTCCCCTAAAAAACCCCCACTAAGCCATCTTTTCTGAAATAGTGCTTCATCACTAATATTTTTTTCCATCCTAGACATGAGGGTTTTCTTAATGTGAGGTAAATATTGTTACGATGTCAGCCACCATGAAACAAACATAATGTATAGTAAAGGTTGTGTACATAGTGATGCCCACATTTGAGCCAAAGGGAAAATGGTGGTTGAACTATATATTTATTTCTAACTTATATTTCCATACTTTTCTGCCAGTTAGATGTTTGTTTGTAGACGTTGTTTAGACGTTCTTATGCATGAGTTTGTTTCTCCTGTAAGAGCATATTAGGAAAACACTGATGGTGGGTTCTCTCGATAAAGTGCCCCCCTGCCTGAAAAACAACAACGGCCTCTTTCAGCTGCTGACAACCTGTTAGATGAGACCTGTGGATGTGGCCTGTTTGATCTCACTGTAGCCTACAGTGTGACTGACCTTGACACTTTTTCCAATGTCTGTGGGAAATGACAGACACACACAGACACACACTCTACTGAAATCTAGAACTTGTTATCGTTAATCCATCTGAAATGTTCCACCAGGCCTCACAGTGAAACCAAAGCCATTCTCACCCAGGCTGAACTGCATTATGCTTTTAACCTATCCATAGCACAATTCTAAGTGTGTTTTTGTATCAGTACAAAAAGGCAATGATTTCGAATCATAATGTGAATCTTAAAAGCTAATTCATGTCATACTTGATAACATGAGGCACATGTGTAATGTATTAATGTTTTGTCTTTATAGCTGGTTTCTATTGGAGCAACATCCAGAGAAATGCCATACCTCTTCTCTTGTCCTCACCTTAATTACTACTATCTGGAAACAGTGTATTTTCTGGAACACAAAGAAAAGACAAAGAAAGACTGAGGCTGTTTTGACCCAACTAACAACTCAGCCATTAAGAAGGCATTATAATGGACAATAAATTAACCTTAATCTGAATATGGCTGTTCCATAATTGCATCCCTGTTATCAGAGTAATGCTGTTGAGTTTTTTTTCTCCTCTCTCAGTTTGAGACCAGCTGCCTGAAAACTGCTCTTCTCCCACTGCTGACAACTTCCTGTATCATTCGTGAGTATCAGCCCGGGGAGCATGTAGTCAATGAAAGCCCAGACTAGCACTTGCAGAAACGTTAGCTTTAGTTTACTTTGACTGCTTCATTTTCAACTGAGAGGTTTGGCCGCAGGTATTGTTACACAGTGGTGCTGAAAGGACAGCGAGCTAGAGTACAGCTCCGTCACCTTGGGAACCTGTGTTACCTGCACACCTGCTTCCAATCAGTTGATTAGGATATCAGATTGCAGATGATTGGATCTGCTAAACTTATTATAGTTTTATTGTTTAATTTCAAGCTGCAACACAATAGTGTATGTTACTAGGCTTTTTACTCGGTATTCTGACACGTTTTTTTTTTCAAAGAGCCAATCTACTCTCTTATTCTAAGGCCTTTGTGTTTTTGCTTGCTAATTAAAGTAGGCCTACAGACAAAAACACAAGTTTATTTAGGTCCACTTATTTTTTAAATCTGACATAAACCATATGTTACCCTTGCATCAGGAACCACAGTGCCACTTTTGGCTTTGACTCAACTCCTGAGTACTTGTCTGCTCACGCTTCCACACACACACACACACACACACACACACACACACACACACACACACACACACACACACACACACACACACACACACACACACACACACACACACACATACCATGCAGGGTTTCCGCTAGGATTTTTTCTCGCCGGTCAAATGTCCGGGCAGAATTTATTTTACCGGATACATTTGAAACTTACCGGTCATATTTCAATAATAATAATAATAAGAGTTGTGTAGCAGAGTTTCCGTTAGCAGGTAATTACCGGACTATGAGCAGATATGCTGATGTTTAAAACTCAGTTCACGGGGCTCATTTTTATATTGCTTCAGTCTATAATCGTAACAGATCGAAAAAATTCAGATTCATTTTTCAATAAATGATTCCACAAACATAATTATTACATTCAAACAAACTACTTGTAGTAGATGAAGTACATTATTCAAAAGTTTACATTAACTTTGAATAATCACACGGGAGAAACGGATCCTCTCTTTTCCTCTCTCTCTCTCTCTCTCTCTCTCTCTCTCTCTCTCTCTCTCTCTCTCTCTCTCTCTCTCTCTCTCTCTCTCTCTCTCTCTCTCTCTCTCTCTCTCTCTCGCTCTCTCTCTCTCTCTCTCTCTCTCCTGACAGCCCGTCAGTTTCTCCTGCAGCTCGCTAAACAGTGGGCGGGGCTTCAGGTGATCATGCAGAGCTGCGTGTCTCTGTCAGACTCAGCAGCTGATCTGATCTCTCTCTCGCGTCTGGTTATACTTCACTCGCGTTTATGTCCATATCGATCAGATCCAGCTCTCCTGATCGGGCTTTATAGAGAGCACCGATCAAACTATTAAGAGTGAATATCGGCCGATAATGACCGGTGGACGATCTATCGGAGCATCCCTAATTATTACCAGACATTTTGACCGGCAGGTTTTGAATTTACCGGTTTTTAATACATTTTACCAGCTAAAAACCGGTAATTACCGGCTAACGGAAACCCTGATACCATGTATACATCACTTCAGGGGACATTACATTGACTTACATGCATTTCCTGGAGACTTATCCTAACCTTAACCATAACCAACACATGCCTAACCCTAACACTTACCCTTAACCTTACCCTTACCCTAACCCTAATCCTAAACCTAAACCTAACCAAGTCTTCACCCTAAAAGTAATGATTCCCCTCATGGGGACCTCCAATTTGTCTCCATAAGGGAAGCCAGTCCCCACACGTGACTATGTAAACAGATTTAGGTCCCCACAAGTATAGTAATGCTAGACCACACACACACACGCACACACACACACGCACACACACACACACACACACACACACACACACACACACACACACACACACACGCACACACGCGCGCGCGCACGCGCACACCTTACCACTTCAGCGCTAGTTTAACCGTCTTTCTCGGTCACTTGTGCAGGACTCCACCATGGCAGAGCGTAGGGGAAACTGGGACAAGGCAGAGGACGACCTTCCGGTTTACCTCGCCCGGCCTGGCACTGCTGACCAGGTGCCCCGGCAGAAATACGGAGGCTTGTTTTGCAATGTTGAGGGCGCATTTGAGAGTAAAACCATTGACTTTGATGCCCTGAGCGTCGGCCAGAGGGGGTCCCGCACCCCGAGGACCGCCCGACGGGAGACCGGTCAGGAGGCGCGGAGCCCGGACAGTGACAGGAAGATCTCCCCTGTGGAGGAAAGCCCCGCAGCCAGCAAGCAGGGAGGGAAACACTCACCTCGGGTTGAGTTCAGTACCAGTGGCAGTAAAGAAGTGCTGCAGAACCTGGGGGATGAAAAGGTAAGAAAGTTTTTTGCGTGAATGACAACAGACATGACGCAGCATGTGTCAATGACAGGAGTGGTTTCTGAAGTGTGTATCACTGTATCACTTATTTGCTCATCCTGTATCCTTTTCTTCGTTGTTGCTGCAAAAAATATTCCATATGAATTATAAAACAATACTATGAAGATATTAAAAAATGGAGACTGTACAGTATGTATACTGTAACACATTTTT